TCCGTTGTGTATTTGCATTTATCGTTGGAGGCAATTACACCGGTCACACAATTTGAGGATTTTACTCCTTATTACGGGGAATGGATGAGGGCACGTCGACTTCTCATCTACGTAATTTTGGAGAAGGGACAAGCTCACCAATTAGAGAAAGGGCAAATGAGGATGGGGAAGAAAGTGACGAAGAGTCCGCACTTGGTGAAGATGATTTCACAGACGAGACCTCAGAAACCGAATCAGATAGATCGGTGAATGAGGAGAGTGAAGCCGAGTTCATTGAAGAAGAATTCCCCTTTCCTAGTGGTGGTCGGCACGTATACCGCGAGATGGGTGAATGGGAGCCGTCCAGAATAGATGAGGACGAGTATGCTATTCTACGCTGGAAAGGCGACATTGCGATCATATGTTTGGGTATAGTTTTTCGGAGCAAGCAAGAAGCCCAAATGTCTTTAATGGGTTGGAACGTCGATAGGTTGCGGGAGATTCGGGTAAATGATTCAAATCAAAAGTCATACAAAGTGGTCTGCAGATCTAGTGAAGATCCGCCTTGTGTGTGGAAGGCTCGGGTGACTAAGTCCAGGCGGGTTCATAAAATGTGGGAACTAACTGAATGGACTGATAGACACACTTGTATGCAACCGGTCGAGAGAAATGACCACAGAAATGTAACCGCCCAAATGATTTCAAATCTCATTCGTAATAAGATTCGAAAGAAAGTGGAGTACGGCGTCGACATGATCCAGGCTGATGTGAAACAGTGCTGGAAGGTGGATGTCAGCTACAAGAAGGCATGGCACGGAAGGAGAAAAGCCATCGAGAGTGTGTATGGCACTTGGGAATCGAACTTTGCAGAACTCCCTCAGCAAGCAAAAATTAATTACAAATATATGTGTTGTTTGTCTGTCGCTATGTTTATCTATTTATTATGAAACCGTTTTGGAATGAGTAGGTATTTTGCCGCGCTTCAAAGAACGAATCCCTCCACAGTTGTAGAGTGGGAATGACAGGGTGGGGAAATGGCGCGACAACTTCGAGACAGACAATTCAAATTTGTATTTTGAGCGTTTGGTCCCGCCATTCAAACTTTTCAAATGTGCCCGTCGGTTATTAGCGTTGATGGCACACATTTGCGTGGATCCTACAAGGGAAAATTGCTTGTGGCCACGACACAAACTGTGAATAAGCGCCTATTGCTAGTCGCGTATGCGCTTGTCGATGAAGAAAACACGGACAGTTGGTCATTTTTCCTTAGGAATCTGCTGCAATATGTAGTCTTCCAGAGACGGATCTGCGTTCTTTCCGACAGAGATGCGGGCCTACTCAGTGCCATTGAATCATTAGCAGATTGGCAAGAACCCGCTGCATATCACCGGATTTGCCTTCGACACCTTCGAAGCAACTTGGTGACTAAGTTCAGGAGTAAGAAAATTCAGACTTGGTGTCGGGAATTGGGTTCGCAGTTGTCGGAGCGAAAGTTTCGAGGGACAGAACAACGACTGTTGGCATTGAGTTCCGAAGCACACAATTACCTTTTTCGAATTCCTTTGAACAAGTGGACCCTATTGAAAGATCAAGGACGCAAATGGGGCACATTGACAACGAATATGTCGGAGAGTACAACAACGTCCTGAAAGGGGTTAGGTTCTTGCCGTGCAGAGCTTTGGTAGACGTCACATTTCATAAAACTCTGGATTTGTTTCAACAGGAACAAAACAAGTCCACGAGATGCGGGAGTCCCATTGCTAGGGAGCACTTTAACGCATATTTGCAATTGGAGAAGACAACCGCCACTCATAGTGTGAGAGTTAGGGACGCCGACAACTCCATGTACGAAGTGGAAACCGGTTTACGGGCTAGTGGAAGAGGGCAAAACAAGTAAGTATATTTTTTTTTCTTTGTCCATTCAATTTTTTCATATTGTATATATATATATATATATATATCACTAGGGAATTATTACATGTATAGGGTAGATTACAACCGAAAACGTTGTAGTTGTTGAAAGTGGTACACGCATAGGAAACCATGCTCTCATGCGATAGCAGTATGTCGTTCAGTTGGGACTGACCCAAAACTGTTGTACAGTGAGTATTTTTGGACGGAGAACTAGGTAGCTTAATTTAGCAATTGAAGTTTTGCTCCGACTGGTAATCCGGATACATGGGCGCCGGTCGAGTGGAAATTGATACCACACTGGGAGAGGATGATCTTGAAGCCTGGACCCAGTCGCGTGCAAACGAGATGATATCGCATGCAAATGGATCGTCGGGCACGCCGCAGGAGGGATAGGGGACAGTGCACTAGATGCGGTGATCCAAATCATGTTGTGGATGAGTGTCCGTCTTCACATCCTAGCACCGACAGGTCTAGACTTCATGATGAGTGGGGAAACTAGATTTGTTAGTGTTTATTAGGATTTGTTTGGAGAGTTCATTTGGATTTGGTTGGATTATTTGAATTTGTTTGGATGATTTATTTGGAATTGTTTGGATGGTCTTTACTGTAATTTTGGTTTTGATGGTATTTTGGTTTAGATTGTGTATTTCGGCGTTCCTGGCCGGAGTGTATAGAGCGCTCTGCACGAGCGCCAAGTCCGGGGAAAACTGGATCAAGAACTGTGTCCAATTGATTCAGGTAAATTTATTTGCTTGTTATTTGAAAATTCATTTTTTTATTCTAATTTAGACTAATATCTAATAACAAATGAATATGTCGATATGTTTAGGTTTGGGCATATGAACGTATCCCTCGTATTCACCCAAGAATGAGGGATACGAACTTTGAGAGAGTCGCTGGTTGTCCCTTAGGTGGAAGGCAATAAAATTTATTTATACTTAATACTTAGATTATTTCCACTATCAAATTTTGTGATTACAAATTGTTTTTTTTTTTTACTTTGATTTTTAAGGTGGATGGGAAAGAGGAGCACGACACACCTGGGAAAGGGAACAACCACCAACCGGGATCAATTGACAGAGCTCACAGAGACGGATGTAAGATTATTATTATTATTTTTATTTGTTGTTTGTTTTAATTTTTTTTATAACTTAATTCCTAATTTTTTTTTTGTATATTTTTTTTTTCAGTTCGAATGGCTACCCTATCAGTGGCATCTGAAAGCGAATGTTCTTCCGGCCCAGTGTACATAAGGTTCACACCTCTGGATGTGTAGGGGGTGGATCTTCAACTGGAACGTCCGTGAACTCCACCTGCCTGATAGGGTCCTCCGTCAGTTCGGGTACCGGCAGTCCACCCCCGAGCCTCCTATCATTACAACTGGGACCGAATATCAGTTACACCATCGAGGCCAGGGGATGACTAGGAGGCCAGTTTTTGATTGGGTTGCCTTTCACGGAGAGCTTGGGAATGCTTGGGTCGAACATAGAGACGAAAATATTGTCCCAGCCCTCGCAGTGGAGCCATTCATTGAGCCTGAGGCGGGTTACCTTGATTGGTTTCACAGTATCACTGTGAGACTACTCGGTGACCCTGCCAAGTACGCGGTGGCCCAACCGGACAGAGGGTTTCACCCACTTGCCGAGCAGGGGAAGTGCGATGTAAGTAATATATATTTGGGTTTTATTATTATTATTATTATTATTATTATTATTATTAATTTTTTTTTAGTTTTTGTGTCATTATAATTGACTTTGAATTTAATTTTCAGGCTACCGCCATGGAGGGTGCTTTTCACACGTTATCTAACGTGAACCACCTACATCATACACTCCATCCAGATGTGTTGGCGGCATTCCAACAGGCCAAGAGCCTTCTATACAGTTCTCTGGCTGTTAGAGGTGGAGACGTCGCACAAGGGACGTCGTCGAGCCAAGTTCTCTCGCAGGAAAGCTACGTCCGATCCCAGAGGACGCAGTCACACCGGGCGAGGCATCGACCTGCTCCCAACATTGGTGGAGGTAGAAGACGACGCGACCGCCAACCCGCTGCCGACACCGGGCCTCAGGAAGAAGAAGAAGGTGAAAATTTTTAACTTAACACAAAAATAATTTTATTTATTGTTATTTTTAAAAAAATGATTTACTCAGGTGAAGAAGAACAATAAGAAGAAGAACCTGTCACGCCCACAGCATCGTCTTCTTCACGACAACCACAACGTCGAATCAGCCACCGACAGCGCAATCCTACGAGTCGATACACTCTTAATTAGTTTGTGTTGTATTCAGGGATTTTTGTGAACATATTTGTTTTTTTTTTTTTTTTTCATTTTGTATACTGATATTTGTGTTTTGAATAAAATATTGTGGTTGACTTTTGGTATATAGTGTATGTTGGATTATTTTGGGAGAATTGATTCATATTAGTTGGTTGAACAGGTTCTGATTTGTTGAACAAGTTGTGAAATGGATCCAAAAAAATATTTTGCATTTTTCTGCAGGCAAAATTAGGGCAAAATCAATCTTTGGGGGAAAATTGATTTTACACAAAAAAACGTATTTGGAAAATACGTTTTATATAAGCAAAAACGTATTTATAAAATATGTTTTATATTTCAAAATTTATTTTCCACAGAAAATTTATTTTAATGATTTTAATATTAATTTTATTTAAAAAACATATTTTACGAATACGTTTTATAATTTAAAAAAATCGTGAAATTAGTTTTAATTATAAAACATATTGCAATAATACGTTTTTAATTAAAAATGGATTTCTTCTATACGTTTTTACTTAATTTAATTAACTTAATTACATTAATTATGTTAATTAATTATTATTTAGTAAACCGTATTGTTAGAATACGTTTTACTAAGAAAAACGTATTCCTCGAATCCGTTTTTTAATATAAAATAGATTTATAGAATACATCCTTTTTATTTTTTTCCACCTTTTTTTTTTTTTTATTTTTGTCCACTTTTTTTTATTTTTAAATAAATAAAAAATTCCTCATTTACACCATCTCTCTAATGTGATAATTTCCCTCTTTCTATTCCCCCACCTTTCTTCAGCCCATGCCACCGCCACTTTAACCCTCTTCCCCAGCCGCCGCCCCACCGTCGCCGCACACCACCAACCCATATCACCGCCTCCGCTACCTCTCCGCCGCCTCAGCTTCCCGGGCCCACCTCCTCAAACATCATAACCCATCCAAAAACCCCGCCTCTGCCACCACCACCGTCGCCGTCAGGTCGCTGCTCTCCCCTCAATCCTACGGCGGCTACACCGTCTCCCTCGGCTTCGGCACTCCGCCGCAGAACCTCTCCTTCCTCCTTGACACCGCTCTGGCTCCCCTGCACCCGTCGCTACTCCTGCGCTTCGTGCGCCGCTGCCGCCGCGGGCCCAGTCGCCACCTTCCTCCCGGAGCTCTCATCCACAGCCAGGCGCCTCAATTTCCTGAATCTCTAAGTGCGGCTGGTTTTTCCCCAATTTCCGCTGCCTTAGCTGCGTCATAAATTTCTCCTCCTACGCCCGCCGTACCAGATCCAGTACGGCTCCGGATCGACGTCCGGGTCCTTCCTGTCAGAAACCCCCAATTTTCCCGACCGTTCACTGGCGAATAATTTCATCGTCAGTTGATTTGTTTTCTCGACGGGCAACCTGTCCGGCATCGTCGGGTTCTGGCGCGGATCGGAGTCCTTCTGTAACAGCCCAGCCAACCCGTGGTAGGATATTGTCCGCTTTGGGAACGCTCACCCTCACGGTTTTGTCTTTGGCGACTAGCTCACCAAAAATGCGTCCTGCTAGTGAAGATATCCACAGCCACTAATAAGGCATGCTTCGTTCTCCTTCACAACCGATGTGAGATACTACAATCCACCCCCCTTGGAGGGCCCAGCGTCCTCGCCGGTACATGGTCCGGGTACTGGCTCTGATACCATCTGTAACAACCCAGCCAACCCGTGGTAGGATATTGTCCGCTTTGGGCACGCTCACCCGCACGGTTTTGTCTTCGGGAGCTAGCTTACCAAAAATGCATCCTGCTAGTGAAGGTATCCACAACCACTAATAAGGCATGCTTCGTTCTCCTTCACAACAGATGTGGGATACTACACCCTCCCCGCCCAAATTGGCGCCAAGAGATTCTCATACTGTATGGTCTCTTACAGGCTCGACGACTCTCCGGCGAGCGGCAATTTGATCCTCTCCGGCGACTTCGCCACCGGAATCAGCCACACCCCTTTCCGGAAAATCACCGGCACCCAAAACCCAACTTACGAGCAATTCTACTACGTGACGCTAAGGAAAATCTGGGTCGGTGGGGCCGACGTCCAGGCTCCGTACGAGTATTTGGTGCCTGACTCTGCCGGAAATGGCGGCACCATCGTGGATTCCGGCACGACCTTCACGTTCATGGAGGGCCCGATTTTCGAGCTCGTGGCCCGTGAGTTCGAAAGGCAGAATTATAGTCGGGCGGCGGAGGCCAAGGCGAAGTCGGGCGGCGGAGGCCAAGGCGAAGCCGGGCGTCAGGCCGTGTTTTCGGGTTTTCGACGAGTCCTTGGAGGTTTTGCTGCGGTTGAGCTTCCATTTCAAGGGAGGGGCGGAGCTCGTGCTTCCGGTGGAGAATTACTTCTCGTTCGTGGAGGAGTCGGTGGCTTTTTTGACGATCAACACGGACAGTGGTGGTGATGGCGGGCCGGGCTCGACGATAATATTGGGTAAGTATCAAATGCAAAATGTGTACATGGAGTTTGATTTGGAGAATGAGAGGCTTGGGTTTAGGAAACAATTTTGAGGATGAGCCCATGCAAATTAGGCAAAATTTGTATCGAGTTGTTCGCGAACACGATTTGTGGAATTGTGCAACAGATGGAATACACAAAGGGTGAGAGATTTAATTGCACAGGAGGATTGTGATGCTATTCTGCAAATTCAGGGAATTGATTTATTGGTGAGTGATAAGTGGAGATGGGAGATAGGGGTGCAGGGCAGGTTCTCAATATCATCTTCATATGCCTTCCTTCATCATAAGAAGGTCATTGCTATGGATCTACCTGAGGGAAGTAGCACTGGTAGGAGGAATCAGAAGATCAGACAGAGAAGCTGGGGTCTGCAGGTGAAAAGCAAACTAAAACATTTTTTATGGAAGTGTGTTAGTGGAGCTTTACCAGTGAGTGTTAACCTTAGAAGGAGAGGGATCGAGCTTGATGTGGTTTGTAGATGCTGTGGAGAAGCTGAGGAAACAGTGGAACATGTTCTATTTCATTGCAGGAGAGCTAAAAGGGTGTGGCAGCAAGCTCAGGTTAATTGGGATGGTTTAGAGGCTGAAGTGAGCAGATTTGAGGATTGGTGGGGATCAGTGTGCTCAATCAGGAATGTAGCTGTGAATGAAGCAAGAATAGAACTCACAACCTACATCCTATGGTGGCTGTGGAAATCGAGGAACTTGTGGGTGTTTGAAGGAGAATGGAGACCAATTTCTGGCATTGTGAAAGGGGCATGGACTGAGTGGCAAGAATCACAAGCAATGAAGAGGTGCAGCAGAGTCAGAGTGACATAGATAGGTCTGCTTTGCAGTTCAGTGTCTTAGTTTATTCTGTTTTGTTGCACTTATGTCTGTATTCTTTATCTGTAGATGTGATTCTTGGGTGCATATCCCATTGGAGGGTTTAGAAGCTTGTTTCTGCCTTTGATGGTGATTAGTTATGATAGACTGTTATTTAGTTTGTAGCCTACCAAGTGTGGTAGTGCTCCCTGGCTTAGCCTTCGGCTTTTATCTTGTTGTTGTCAAAGAACTTTGTATTTGATTTTTGTTTGAATGGAGACATTTCTATCGTTGGAAAAAAAAAAAAACATCACAAATTCTATTGAACCATCGGATGGCTCCCTTATGGAGCAATCTATAACTTTATATACTGACAAATGTCCAATGTGTATTTATTGCAGAACACGTGTTAATACATCATTTGTGAATAACTATGGATGATTACATAAATCGAGTCATCCGATGAGTCCATAGCAAAAACGGGGTGAACATGCTCGATTTAAACAAGTCGAGTTTTGAGCTTTCACTAGATGGGCTGATTGAAAACTATTGAATGCGAATAACAACTTTAGGTGTACTTGTGCATTTGGTGAATTAAGTGCGAGTTTGAACTTTCACTAGCTGAACCGAGTTGTATTTGCAAATCCATTACTATATAATAGCAATAAAGAAAAATCTAAAAAACAAAACATGAAGATTCCTACCCAAGTTTTCGTTTTTTACTACTTGTGGTATTTGAATTATCCCGCCTAAAGCACATTGGATTTGATTTGAAATTAAAAATTAAACTCATTGACAAAATTTACTAATATTCCGCATACATCCGTGTGATGATTTTTCTTTCCCCATAATTTCGTGATTAATTTGGTATTATCCTTTTTAATTTATTAAACACACAAATATTTTATTTTATGTCCAAAATAAAATTCTAATATATATCATGTTCCATATATAACTAATTAAAATCACACAATAAGAAATTCGGCATTAATAAATTGACAAATCAATTTTGCTTATAAATCCACAAATGTCCTATAACTAATATAGTCCTCATTCAGGAATTTGAGGAAATCCCACTTTAGTTAGTTTCTTTTATTAATATTATTATTATTGAAATTTAGTTAAATGGTAACAGATATTGTGCTTAAAAAAATGAAGATGTACAACATTAACAACAACATAATCATCCAATCAATAAAATCAATAAACGCTTATTTACGGTTCTCTAATAAGGTTTTATTATTTTATACATCCTCATTATTTAACTGATATATATTTGAGCATAATTACTTTAAATATTATCTATGACTATGAATATAGACTCAAATGATAGTTCATGTATACATGTATACTTTTTTTCCGTTTAGCAAATAAATGTTTATTGTTAAAATTTTGACTATGTATTATTTTTTCCCAACAAGAATTCACTAAGTCATTTGTACCTTTTTTCTCTCCACAATCTATTAAACAAAATTATACAATATATATTAAATTAAACTACATATTTATTTTTTTTATAAAAAATACATTGTTTATTCATTCACATATTTTTAACAATCAATTATTCAAAATTATTTAGTTATTATTGTATATTAGTCAACCTTATTTATTACAATTTATAATACATGTTGTTATATGAAATTTAACAACGGTAATAACGAAGATTAAGCTGTAAATGAACGGTGTTTTTATTAATTTCAAGTCAGTTTTTGAGTACAAGAAGTCGGTTAACGTGGAACCGAGTTAGTTAATGCATGTATTTAATGTGTCGGAAGAAGATCCTCGTATTGTAGCAAATGCTGCTATTTATAGTAATTCCGGGCTCGTCTTTTGAGACTGATTCGGCGGCATTTAATGTGAGTTGACTGTGTAGGGTCGACTACTCTGCAAGTAGGCCTGCGTATAATGATATGGGCATGTGCGGTTATCGGTTGACTGATAGATGTCTAGTCAATGTCGGCTCGACCTCGGTTCTTCGCTGACGTCGGTCCTCGCTTCACTGTGGAAGTCAGTTATCCTCAGGGATCGTACTGAGTTTCATCAAAACGGTCTTCCTTCTAACTCTCGATAATTTGATCTTACGGCAAATCTTCCACGTGGCGCCTTCAAATCGGACAAGCTAGGTCGGTTATCAACAATATTCATTCACAAATTTTAAATAATCATTCTTACATCACATTTTTCCCCCAATTTTGCATAGTATTTTACCAATTTAAATAATTACCAAAATAATCTTATGTCAATCCTATTATTCCTACCCTAAATTTTGGGAACTAATTGACCAAACCTATGCACTAAATTAAGGAGGTATTTGGTAAGTATAAAAACTAACTTATACCTTATTTGATGAACTTATAAGTTTTATGTATTCAAATAAACTTGGTTTGATAGGACAAACTTTTTTAACAAACTCGAGCTTATCTTATAAGCTTACTTGCGTAGTTTTCTAAATAAGCCAATTGAAATGTTTATTTCAGCTAGCTTATCAACTAATTTTACTAACACTTTAATTATATAAACAAGCTTTTCAGTCACAAAATTATAAGCTATCAGATATTAAACTCGAAATTTTCTTAAAAACTATAAATTAATTCATCAACTATAAGCTAGCTTATATACTAAGTTTATCGAAGACATGGACCAAACATTAATAAAAGACCAGATTAATAAATATTTACAACTCTACTATGCAAATATAATTAATTATGTATTTATTTAAAAGACCACATTAATATTTACATATCTCATACGTGATTTATAAATATTTACAACTCTACTATGCAAATATAATTAATTATGTATTTATTTAAAAGACCACATTTAACTACATTAATGCCTAAAATGAGTTACCATATCCATTACAACATCAATCCCTTGATTGTCGTTGTAAAAGACCATATTTAACTACATTAATGCCTAAAAGGCAGTTACTATGTCCATTTCAATCTAAAAAAAAAAGGGTTTATTTTTTTTAATTTATATTTTTTGTTTTATCTTTGATAATTCATTAAATGGATTTTTCAGTTTTTTAATGGTATATATACAGTTTTTTAGTGTTATATATATCGTTTATGTTAATATATATTCAGTATATGTTTAATATATATACATAAAATATACCATCAAAAAATGTTGGTGTATGTGTTGTATATATTTCAATGATTATAGTAAATATAAAACATAATCATGGTATATATAATGAATATATAAAATATAATGTCGGTATATATACTTACAATAAAACCGTAATGATGGTATATGTATAGTATATGTTTTCCATGATTTTACTAAATATAAACCATACATATACCGAAAATATACTGAATATAAACCATACATATAACAGGGGGAACGATATAATATGAGGGGATAAAAATATATCGAAAATATACTAAATATAAACCATGCAAAACTGCAAAGTTTCAATTACAGGGGGACCGATAAAATATGAGGGGATGAAAACTTAATAACATGTTTCTTGTTGTGCTTGGACTGGCGCAACCATATCAAGCACCCCTGCCAGGACCGAGGGCCGCCCCCACCGAAGGACCTATCCGTCCAGATCCACCACAAGACAGGAGCAGGGAAAAGCGTCGACTGAAAAAAAAAATATCAGAGTCAAAAAATTTCACCCCTATTCACACAGTCCAAAAATTCACAAACTAATTGTCAAAGAATGAGTGAAAGTTGAAGAGCGTCGAAAGAAAAAAAGAAAACCCAAATCACGTCATTTAATAATCAAAATCCAGAATCTCACCATGTTTAAATTACTCTCTTTTTGCTACCTAAAAGCCACCGACCACGTCTACACAGACAAGTGAGGTGGCGGTGGCGCCAACGATGAGGGCGGCGCGAGGGATGGGACTTTGGGTAGACGGTGTTTCGTCCTCTTCGTTCGTCGGTTTTTTTCGGGTAGACGGTAGGAACTTTGGTCATTTGAGCAATTGGTGTTCGAATTGTAGAAGTATAAGGAGATGAGAGTGAGAGAGAAGAAGAAGAAGACGAATAGAGAGAGGGGGAGAGAGAGAAAGCGTGTGATAATTATAGATCCTATTAAATCTGATTTTACCATATTTAAAAATAATTATCTGTTGCACAATAATCTAGTATGTTTGTAAATAAATATGATGCTAGTTTTAGTTAATTTGTAAATAAATATATTTATAAGTTGTAATTATGTAATAAAAATATTAATGTGTAGTAGATGGTGTAATTTCTAGGCTTATAGCTGGTGCTTGACGACTCAAATTAAAATTGTATGGACCAAGATATATGGGTTAAGTTTGTTTCAAAATTAAATCTAAAACCAGCCCAATGCTTAACCTTGTATCTAAATAGCTGCGGAGCCCAAATATCTCGGCCCACATTTTAACATCAGTCCATATTCTTTATTACAAAGTGCC